CATGGTAATTTTTTGTTTTTTTGGCCTGCCACATGGTAATTTTTTGTATTGGGATCCATTGTGTGGTGGCTTTCGCCCACGACTCATTTCAGTTTACCAGCTTGGCCCACATCTGCGATTCGTGTTTGGCGGCGCAGATACTGTTTCTTATTCGGTCTGATAATTTGACTCCTAGGATAACGCGCTCCAAATTTGGAGTAGTGTCGAGCTGTCAGCGACCAGGCTTGTTGTTGAGAATAAGTGCCGTTGGTGAGTATGGATAGAAAGCACACGTCCATGAGTTTTCTTCTGAGTGCGAGTAGTAAGTCTACTAGTACTAAGTTTGATCTTATCATCTTGTCTGCTATCTATCCCCTACATGTGTCCATGCAGAATCCAACCTTGAGGCTTGCGGTGTTGAGTTGGTTCAACATTGTGCCGTGTTCGGTAGCTAAGAAAGAGAGGCTTACCTTAACAGAACCCATTTATTGACCATCAACTACCGACGTTCTCTTCACTTTGCAACTCTGTTTTTCGGCATAATTCATAATAAAAATCCGCCGCATCTCTTTGAATATTTTATTAATTTGAATTGTTTTCGCAACGCCACATTGGATTGTCTTCTCGTCTGGTTTGCCCTAGACACAGCATAGCAGCATTGTGTGGTAATTTTCGTTATTCTGGCACGAAATATTGGAACAATATACCTCTTCCGATTAGAAACTGTGCCACAATTAGCACGTTCAAATGTAAATTTAAACAGTATTTATTACATAAACCAAAGAATATGTGACAAACGGCAATTACTTTGGGAATGCACGTTTTATAAGTTGAAAAAGTACTTATGTTATGTATAAAGATTGATAATCCTTAACAAGAGCGATACGTATAGATTTTAAATTATAAATTTTATAACTTTAGTAATATATGTACATGATTTATTATTATGTCGCACAAAATTTTATGTATATATAAATGTAATATATTTTTCTCTGTAAAGTGTTTTATTTTGATATAACTTTTGTTTTATTAAGATTTACTTTATATGACAAGTAAATAGACCAATAATTAATGTTATAGAATAAGAGCTTTTTCTTCTAAATTCTTATAAAATGTGAATATTACACTAAACGACAATTATATGAAATTAAGTTCTAGGAAGTGAATTTATTCCAAATAAATATTAACGGTATATGTTCTAAAATGAGTTTATTCAATTTTCCTACAAGTGAGGCGCACCCACCTGGTGTTGCAAAATTAGTTCGGTGACGGTGCGCTCGCCGAGCGAGCGAGCGGCTCGGGCCGCCCGGCCGCGACCTTCGTCGTCCAGCACGCAGCATTGCAGCAGCGTCACCAGTTTCCGCTGCATTGGTCGCGATAGACGACCCCCACCGACTGTATTGTTGACTGCTCACAAACCACAGGAATTAAATTGAAAATATATAATTTTGTAGTTTATTGTGGCAAAACTATCCAATAGATTGTTTCGCCAGCAAATACTAAAAGGTAATAATTATTAGTTATAACATAAATTTCAACGTTAACGTGCCAGAAGACTTGTTGATACATCTTTAATCGAATAAAAAAGTGTATTGTGTTCAATACGTCCGTTTCACATCAAAATCCAAATTCAAATGAACGCGACCTCAAACGCATTTGTTGATGGATTACTTCAAATAATTTTGCACGTTTTCAGTTCTTAACAACCCACTTGCGACATTCTTTTAAAACAAACCGACTTCCCAAAGTTTCGAATACGGAAGTGATTGATTTCAAAATTTCGCTCAGGTAAAGCACGTGTACATTGCGAAATTGGCAATGAATTTATTTTTTGTTTTTGAAATCGCAAAAACAACAGTATCAAGCCTTCAGCCTTATGTTGAACTGTGTTGTCACTTGACTTGAATAGATGGAGAGAGATAGCTCGCATGCTTTGATGGGCGACGTCGTATGAGCTCTAGCCAAACCTGAGTCGTTCTGAAAGTACTTTTGGTACCTTTTTTCGAGAAATGTCAAAATATTTAAATATAATTTCGGATTTTTTGCGCTCGTGTTAATACAAAACGTTGAAAATCACTTTATGAATAATTTTAACTTACTAATGTATTTTCTACAAGTTACCTTAAAATTTTAATCGACACCCAGCAGTCAAGCTAAGCCTCAAGTTATCAAGGCGCAATCGATCAAGTGACGAGATGATGGTGGAGAAAACCTTATTAAATACAACAGAGAACCGTAGGGCATAGTGATGAAAAGACTTCTGTCTTTTAAGGCGTTTTATACGACGACTGGACTCCATTTTACAGGACTCCACTCTACAATTAAGACTGGGGGTTCGAGTTTTTATTGATAAGACTCAGTCGTTACACTAAAAGACTTAAACGACTTGAAGGACTTAAACGACTCGAGTTGTTTGCAAAAGACTTATACCTATTTTATGTCTTATTAAACCCGAAGTTTATAAATAAAAATGACGTAAGTAGTATGTAGTAAATAATCACGTTTATTTACTTATAATAAAAATCGTAAAATACCTTGTGGGTACAAATAAAAACACGCCATACTGCTCATGACTCGCGACTCGCGAGGCTTTGAGGCGCCAGTCCTTTTAGTCGTTTTAGACTTTTTAGTCGTTTTAGTCCTATAAGTCTTTTATACTTCCTTAAGCTGAGACGCTGAACATAAATAATTGACGATTACTCCACCGGCAAGAGCTGTTAAATAAGAAGTTTAAAGCAGACCGCTTAAAACCGTATTATATCAGTAATCGGAATTGCAGGAACTAATTTATCTAAACTAAAGAATAACGTGGACATTCCCTTCTACAAATCCTGGGATTTCTCTTAACTGATTATATTTGAATATGCGTATTATTTATTGAAATATAAGTACATTGGCGACAAATTATTATTTCCTATTAAGTATTTGCTACAAATAATTGTCTCAAAGAATTATATTGTAGTGTGTTTTATAGGTATGTACGTATTTAAATACATTACCCATTTAAACAATAAACATGAGACAACCTATATTTTGGAATGCTTAGATAATAAACAGATTTTTTTTTAATTATACGCATTGATGGCGATATGTTGAAACTATCGCGCCGCCGCCGTCGCTAAATGCAATCAGCGCGCCCTTCATTTCAGTTCGATCAGGCGCTCCGATCGTACGAAGAAATTAACATTTCTAAGATAAAACTTAGTGACTATAATAATAATAACGCACACACTCAACATAGTCCCGCACTAGGGAAACCTGTGTCGCAGGTGCCATGGACACACATAGACAACCACAAATTACACCCAAACTCACGAGAGAAATAAATGTAGGCCATATAAAAATTTCTTCCGGCCCGGGAATCGAACCTGGGACCTCTGCGTGGCAATACGGCATGGTAACCGTTAGGCCATGGAGGCAGTTAATAACTGACTTAAGGATGTTTTGTTTAAAACATTAATTTGTCAATTTTTGGCGTCGCCATTTTCTTTTCTTTTCTTTCATTGAACTGATAAAAATTTGCTTACTATAGAAAATACGTTATTTTATTTTTTCCTTTGAAAAAGTATTTGTATAACGGTTTTTTGTAAAAACAAACACCGTTATCAAATTCGTATCATAGTAGCGCCGCCGGAACGCCGCCGCCGCCGACACTTTTGCGACGGCGCGCCTCCGCCGCCAGTTGGTCTATTATCGGCGCTCATACCTAGTCCACACTAAGAACACGCTCATACTTTAGGTCAATTAACTCCTTCAAGTCCGATCACTGGTTATTATATATAAAAATGTATATGGACAAAGAAGAAGGGATTACATGTTCTCTGATATAAATTCCAATTAAGGGAGCGGTCGTGTGCAGAGCAAGCCTATACAAATAATGAGCATTGAAAAAAAATGTTCTTCTCCTATGCCATCACTGGTTGCCTAGCAACATTTTCTTATTAAACATACTAGACCGTTTTTGGCTGGAGTATAGGTGCGACGAGTTAATAATCATTTCAACGCTTAATAGGTCTGTGAAATTAGAGTGATTAGGTAAATACAGTAAAGGAACTCACCATTGCCGCAATATTTGAGGAACACGGACAGGTGTTCCATGCATTTCACTATGACGTCATAGGCTTGCTGGTCCGCTTCTGGCAGCTTCTGAATACATGGCGGGTGGTACGGTTGAGCAGGGGGCGCATATCCCAGCAGTTGGAGTAGTGCCGTGTTCACTACCACATCTTCCGCGCCGAACGGTACCACAGTCTTCAGAAAAGAAAAAACTCTTACAAGGCATGCGACAGCGAGACAACTTATCACTAACAATAATAACGCACACACTCAACATAGCCCCGCACTAGGGAAACCCTGTGTCGCGGGTGACATGGACACACACATAGACAACCACAAATGACACCCAAACTCACGAGATAAATAAATGTAGACCATACAAATATTTCTCCCGGCCCGGGTATCGAACATGGGAACCTGGCATGGTAACCGTTCCGCCACAAAGGTACTAACACAAACCTGCGCTTAGTGCAGTGACCGCAAGTAAAATGTAAACTAACTAATAAATAACTATGCAATTCTACCCTCTTTAACACAACTAACGTAAGCGACATTTTTCGCGAAGTTATTTGGAATCAGCAAAACCAGATCTGCAAACCCCTATTTCTTAAGTAAAATCAGTTTTATTTTTAAGAAAAAGATCAAGATGCAATATATCGAAAGTTACCAAAACGCAAATGCGACAGTTATGATGACAAGGAGGGTAGAATTTCCTAGTTTACCTTCCTGGAACTTCAACAAACATTTCTAGATTACACTTTTGTACCCTCGAACGGACTTTGTGTTATAGCTGGATTTCTTTTGTAATAAGATTTTTTTTTAAAAGCGGAGTGGTGCTCTGCTTTGGCACGTATATGAGTTGAAACAGTACAGTGAATATTATACCGTTAGAAATAGATCCTTTTTAAATAAAACGAAATTATATAAATGATGATTTGCCATAAAACTCTTTCTAAACGCTAAAACTGGAGTAAGTTTTTCAGTTACACTTACTAAGCTGATGTTTTTTTATTGATTATAGTCAAATATTTGACAACAATCCCTGTTGGTTTTTTTTCTTTCAAGCGACGGGACGTCTTCTCTTGAGACGTCGTAATTTTTATATTATTTTGCTTTATTTTATAACTATCTATTTCTACGGTATAATATTCTACTATACTATTTTAACTCATATACGTTCCATAGCAGCACACTTAGCTTTTAAAAAGCGATACCGCAGCGTTTTAGAAAGTTTAGAAGTCATAGTAAGTTCCACTACGTAAAAGGAAACCCTTAATATAAATCAAGAAATAATCATAAAAAAACATTCTACAAGTGATTCAAAACAAAAGACTTTAAGGGTCGTATTCCAGAACTCTACTCAATGCTCAAGTCAGGACTTGAGCAGACTTGGAGTATAATTTCAAGCACTGGAAATACGACCCTAATGGCAAGGACTTGAGTATGATTTCTAGTACTTTAAATCATACTCAAGTTCTGACTCGAGCTTTGAGTAGAGTTCTAGAATACGACCCTAAGTTGCATTTGAGATAGCAAATTATTGTAAAATGCATCTTAAAATTATTACAATAAGCTTGATTTTTGTCTAATATCTCAATATAGTCATAAATACATATATTCAGGACTCTTGATGTGTACATAATTGACCAATTTAAATATGTCTATACTTTGTGTTTAGTTTGACCGCTGTCCGTGTATTGTGTTCGTTAATGCTTTAATGCAATGTGAATCATAATTACTTGAACGATTCGTTGTCCATGTTTTAGTGACGTTAACATCGCCAATGAATCATTTATTGTAATGTCAATCGTGTTTTCTTATTACTATTGTGGCACACTACTGGGCAATGGACTCTTCTCTGCCCTGTAATGACGCCATGCCTTATTTGTTAATTTGTCGTGATCATGCGCCTGTCCGTTTCACTTCGACGTTATCAGTTGTCTTATAAGGTTTAATTTACATTGCGGCGGAAAGGAAGCGACGCCCGCATCGCTGTCACCATCGCGCCGCCGCCCGTTGTCGCTGTCGTTGTTTGTAGCCTAATAGGTGTACAGTTGTTCAGTCTAGATCTTTTTCATAAAGAATGATGGACTTGGTTTTTGCTTTTATTATTATTTTTTATTTTATTTATTATTATATATTGTTGTTATTATATGCTTATTTGTGAAACAACAGAGGAAGATAAAAGAAACAGAAAAGGGAAAAAAGATATTTATGTTCATGATTTGTCCAAAACTTTTTGGACAATATGAAACATTTTGCTAAGATTTATAAGCCGTCAACTTTTTACGACTTTTCCCATACTTTAAGAATAAAGTATTAATAATACAACAAATAAGCTTTTTATTACTAATAATAATAAAACTTTCAATCGCTAAAGTTTCTAGAATCATTGTACAAACAAACATATTTGTCCAAGAAATTTGTCAACTTTACATCGATCCATGTTTTTTCTGTCACGGTACGTATACATAACATATTCTGACGACGCTTGACGTGTCGCCAAACGTGGCAGTGGAATTCTCGCGAATGCACGAGCATACCCGTGGGTATTCTCCTGAAGATCTACTTAGAGGATGAAAAGAAGGGGATCTCCCGTTCTCTGTCCTATATGCGTCAGTTTGACAATTACTGTCAAATAAGTAATACTCGACTCAAAAGACGCATGATGAGAATGAAGCTTCACACTTGACATTGACTTGATCCCCAGGTTTGTACATTACATGACCATGCACTCATTACGCTATGTAAAATATCGTTATATAAAAAGTTAGTTCCATTCCGTTCTGCCACAGTGTAAATTGAGACATCTTGCAGTTAGTTTGTGTCAAATCCATGATTTATGGACTCGTTGCTTGGAATGAGTTTAAAACTAGTGTTTTGAATTTATTTCAACATTTCGACCCTCACAATAGATCTCGCAAATAATTTGTTATTAAAATTTATTAACAGTTTTCTTCTGCAATCGCAATTATTAAAAACTGAACAGTGACCTTCTGGCGAACTCTATAAAAAGTTAGAAACCCTAAAACTGCCTCTGTGGCCGAGCGGTTACATTCCGCGACACAGAAGCCCCGGGTTCGACTCGTGAGTTTAGGTGTAATTTGTGATACAGGGTTTCCCTGGTGCCAGCTATGAGTTCATGCGTTATGAACACAAAGTAAATTATAATGTACATGACAACAAGGTTCAATAGCTGATGTCATGCCATTAGACAATAATGTTAAAAATAAAACAATTACCTACGATAGATAAATTGGCTAAGTCATACGGGTTTAAGAAACTTATTCTTACAAGAATTTACAATTACCTTAAATGAGAATCAAAAGGACTAACTAAGCTTTAATAAATATATTATGCATAAGCCAGAGTGTACTATTGCATGCTGTACAAACAAATTTACAATAATTATAACGTTTTTATAAAATAATCTCAATACAGAGTGCTAAAAAAACTGGCCCCAAAGTTCGTGGAATTATTATTTGCCAAGTATTATTGAAATGGTTACCGGAAAGTGCGAGAATCCGGATTCATCTCTAAGGGTCGTATTCTAGAACTCTACTCAGTTAGTTAGGATTTGAGTATGGTTTAAAGCACTTGATATCATACTCAAGTCCCTGCCATTAGGGTCGTATTTCCAGTGCTTGTGTTGCCAGTGCAATCCTGACTTGAGCATTGAATAGAGTTCTAGAATACGACCCCTAGTTTGCCACCCTTAAAGGTGGAATATTTTCTTCAAATTCAAATGGAACCACTACTGAGGTACCCAACAAAAAAAGAATCATCAAAATGCGTTTGCAAATCGAGTAACATAGATTTTTTTTAAATTTATTTTATCATTAGGGTGGCTTCATTTGGGGCCTATGAGGCCCCTCATCACTGCGACCATAAATGATCTATTGTGATCAACACTAATCACAGCTCGGAGCCAAGACCAACAGCATTAAGGAACTGAAGGACTTTCCTGGCTCCGACAGTCTTTATGTCCTCTGGGTGTGGCCTGTGCCTACCCAGTATGGAGTAACATACATACAAAAATAAAAATAAATGAACAAGTCGAATTGAGAACCTCCTCCTTTTATTAAAGTCAGTTAAAAAGTGACCTCAGGTTTGCTTAACCTTTTCACTGTTTTTTTTTTCATTGGAATTACATCTATGCCAAAGTTTAATTGAAAGAGTTAACTTTACTGGTACCTTTTGAACTCAAAAAAAAAACCCAGACAAATTGAGAACCTCTTTTTTTGAAATTTCAAACATAAGTTTTTTTACAATAACACAAATTTATTTGGCAAAGTGGGTATATTTGAAACAGTATAAAAAATTACCACATTGAAGTGACTTACCTGATCAAAGGGGCATGGTTTATTGAGCACGGTCCTGAGGCAGTCCCTACAGAGGGTGTGCCCGCAGCCGAGACTCACAGGGCACCGGACGGGCGGCGCGAATTCGCGCATGCACATCGGACAGTTGAGGTAATCCGTCCATTGCGTCGCCTGGATTGGCATCCTGGATAAATAATAGTTAATGTTGCAATTAGCTGTTGTAACCTACAGCAACAATGGTTATCGCTACAAAGTGTTTGTTAAGATGACAATATCATCATCTCAGCCCGTTAACACCCACTGCGGGTATAGGCCTCCTCTTTTGCACACCATGTTAAGAGATATAAATAAATACATAAATAAATTTTGTAAGTTAAAGGTTCAAGCAATGTTTTATTCCATTCCTATGTGCTCATTTGTGGAGGGATCGTCCGCGGCGGCCGGGGTGGTCGCGCGGATATTGATGTCTTCCTTTTCAGTACTGAAGTGTCACACGTCCAAATCGCAAACAGACGCAGACCAAGCACTGAAAGTTACAGGCGGAGCCAATATACCTACCCGCGCGGCGCGCGTGGCCGCTGTGAACTCAAGGAGCGTCTACGTACAATTTGACTTCCCCCCCGCAACACGCGTCTGCCGCCAATCTGAATAAGCCCTAAGAAGGAGGTTTTAGTGGTCAATCAGCTTATACGCTCCGTGATCCCAGCTATTCCTTATTAAACTTGTTTAATCAGTACCACTATATCTCCTTTACTAAACATTTTAGCACGTCTCTATACAGAACCTGTCTACATTGTCTACAGTGTGTCTACAGTGACCACTGTTTTATTGTAGATTACAATATACTATAAAAAGCACCTAAAGGCTGTTTATTTGAAAAACAACTTCAGATAGATAGGCAAGTACATTCTTTTTAAGCAAGTCTTTTAACAGCTACCCTCATTATTTTACAAATATAGACATATAAAATATTAGAAAGGTCTTAGTAACTTAGTCAGACCTAAGACCAGAAGAACTAGGCTCCACTTCTATAATACATTGTAAATAATAATGAATTACATAATTGTGATGAGGAAAAGTAACAAAATTAACAAGGAAATTACCCTCAAACTGGGGAGGGCAAGATAAATATTGTACGGAATAATCAACATACCGTGTGACTCATTTAAATATATGTTTACTTTCAATACAGATGTCCGAGAGCATAATTTCTTATCAGACAACAGATTGTGGTAATAGTAAAACTCGTCCAAATGCCGGCTGACCTTACATTACTTTGAAAATTGATATTTTCACCTTAAATTGTATTCGGATAAAATTATCATAATGTTTGTGAGGTCACTTGCAAAATTATGATGTATCACGATCGTGATAAACTATCTGAAAAAGTTTACCGTTCTACGCAATTCCAAATAACTATATGACGGGTACATCGAAATGCTGCACTCATACTTTCATAAATAACGTTAAAGAACGCAGAAAATACGTATAAAACGTAAAAATAACAGAATATTCCAAGAAATGTGACATCCAAAATTGCCACCTAGGCAATAAAATATTGCGACTTCTCGACAAGACAAAGATATTATTTTGGATTATTAATATTGTTGTACGTTTTCATTGTACTAGGAATTATTTGTTTCATAAAATTACCTTAAAAATAACACGAACACTCATCACAAAAATAACACATTTGGCTTTTAACCACTTCAAAACATGATCCGTCAGCAGCCGAGTTGCATAGACTACAATGTACTCTGTCGACTAAAAGCCATAGACAAAAGGAAAACTTAGAAGTTTTTGACTTGACAATACACACAAGAGTTGTTTTCAAATAACCTCAAAAATGTGTCCCTTTCAATTCAATAACTTTGTATGAATCCCTTTCAATAACTTTGTATGTATAATACTTATTTATATAAAGATGATTGTTTGGATACTTAGTCTGTATTACACATCAAAAGACTACTTACTACGTTACAGTAATAAAAGAAAACTAAAAAAGTGGGTAGTTTCTCATTCGTCTCAGCCGGTTCCTAGACAGAATTTAAAGAAATTATGAAGAGTTAAAATTAAATTGGAAATAGTAATGTCGTCACGTCGTATACGGTAGTAACCTTAGAATATGCTAAGGTGGTAACGTTCCAATTTATCACAAAATTTTTTTTTTGGAATAGGTACAAAATGTGTTGAAAACCGTCTTATCATCATTGTTATTTCACCTAAAACCGGCCTTTTAACAAAAGTTCGAACAGCATCACCTTCACCCTTCGCACACACGAGAAAAGGGCTCCTGCCGTATTGGAATTTGGAGTGCACATAGTAAAGAGTGAACCTTTGCATCTCCGCTGTATTTTAGCAAGAAATCGACTTAAATCTAGTATGTACACGCCAGCACATCAAGCTACACATTGACGTATCGTGTTCCGTTGCAATGGAGGCGATTTTCGAACAAAAATGTGTATGTAGTCTGATGTGCCGTTATCCGTACATACATAGATTCGTTGATTTAAATCATTGACTTACAAATAAATGGACGACCGACGGGTCTAATACAAAAACCACGAAAAAAATGTCCCAAGTCAACCTATTCGAAATTTAAATTGTTATGTCATCGCAGTATCGCGCTGTCCGTAGAACAAATGAAGACTAAAGCGGAGTGTCGCGCTCTGTATACGATTTTAGCGCCTTACAAGTGCGGACACTTTTTAGCGCGGACCCGACGTCCATATAATTGTAAGTCAATGACTTAAATACAAATGTTACCATGTATCAAAACATGGAAATTTGAGTTCTATACGTTCTATTTCTTGCTCGCATTTGATTTTATAAACCTTCATATTGCTTTCTTTTCTAGCAAATATAATGGAGTTTTGTACCCAGATTTACTTGTACTGGGCATTGACCTACTCTTAATTTCGGTTTTAGCAGTCCGTTCCGTAGTGACGCTTGGTAGGTCCTCGTGAACTGTCGTGAACATAAATACAGCCTAAGTTTCCATTTCTATTGCCGCAGTTATTGGTCACTCTAATTTTACGTGCATTTGACCATTTGTTGTCTGTCCCGATCCATTTTAGATCGTATGCAACAAGGTAGGTACTCTTTGTTCAGACTAGATCATTTCTATCACAGACCTATACCGCTTAGAAACATAGTCTATCTATAGCAAAAAATAATTGGAATTCCAAGTGTTTGCTAGAGACGGGACGTTATCAATTTTCAGTATCGATTGTATATTAAACAATCATGAACGAGTAAATTACGTATTATTATAGTACATACACAGTATCATTTTGTAACGACCCGTTCGGCACCCGACTGCTTCATCTAATGGTAACAGATTGTAGTAAAATAAAACATTTGGCAAATTACCGACCTTCTTTTAAATTCAGCTGATAACGTAAATCAAGAAATAGAGCACGTGAATGAGTTTTTTTCTATAAATAATAATAATCTCAGTACATAGTATTAAAAAAACCGACCTCAAAAGTACGTGGAATTACGTCTATTTGCTAAGTTTTATTGAAATATGTTCGCCACTATACAGGACTTGACACTGGAGATAATAAAAATCGGTTCTCACTACTCTATATCGAGAGAAAAACGCCTTTTAAATTGGATAAATAGTAAAATGAACCATTAAAGTAATTGCTCCTAAATTAAAATTAGGCGCTATTTATAAAAATGAATCTTCATGCGTGAACAGCCACCCTTCGAGGTGGATGATTTTATTCAAAATGAAATGGGACCACTATGGAAGTACCCCCTTTCCAACAAAAAAAGAATCATGAAAATCGGTTCACAAATACCGGAGTTATCACGTAACATACATACAAAATAAAAAGCAAAATGAAAAGAACATACAGTCGAATTGAGAACCTCCTCCTTTTTTGAAGTCGGTTAAAAATAGGTAAGCAGTTAGTGGATGCCGTTACTACATCCACGACCACAAATTCAAACTCGAACATGTTTAAGTTTGACATTATATCTTCACCTAATTCTATGGTGTTACTTCCGCCAGATGAAGCGGAAGTTAAATAATCAATAAATATCTTAAAAATAATTTTACTACTAGTTAGGACTCTATTCCCGCAAAGTTATTAAAAACGGTTACACATAATTGTTCCACATTTCACTAAACTTTATGATAGTTGTATGCCACAGGGAGAGTTCCCGAAGGTTTTTAAGAGATCTCATCACTCCTATTCACAAAAGTGGGACTCGAAACGATGTGAAAAATTATAGACCAGTAACGGTCCTTTCATCTTTATTTAAAGTATTCCAAAAAAATTTAAACCAATGTATTTTAATTTTTTTGAAACATAACATCTTATCTAGTAGTCAATTTGTATAATAATGTGAATAATAATGTTATAAATAAAAATAAAACTCATGTTTTACAAATGAACTTAATCATCTTAAAATCTTTAGTGGTCTACTCTTGCTTTTCGCTATCAACATAACGTTGCAAGCTTTTTTTAACATAAAAGTCTGTGCCATAGGTTCCCAAACTTTTTGGTTCACCGTACACTTAGGCAAGAAATTAAGACAACGCCCACCACCACAAAAAATAAAAACACGTATTTAACACATTAACTTAATACAAAAATTCACAAGGAAAAATATTGTGTAGTGTAGTTTATATAGATAATTAAGTTTTTTTTTTCAAATGTCATGGCACCCCCTGGACAGCATCAACTCCCCCAATTGCTTGCGCCCCCTACCCAAGAACTCTTCAGAGCCCACTGGGGTGCGGTAGGGACCACTTTGGCAATCTGTGGTCTACGCGCTTAAACATTATTCTAAACGATTTTGTAAGCTTTAAACTAAAAACACGTTTACAAAAGAACAACGTTTTAAAAAATGTTTAAAAAATAAACACTTTTTCCCATCTCTATTTGTATAAAAATTAGAGACGCGCAAAACAGTACCACGAAAAGTATTGTGATATCACATTACATCCCGCTAAAATGATATTACACTGTGATATCACTAATACCTACAACATCACACCGTCTAAATGTGAGATGCGTTTTACAGGCCATCCTATAAATATTGAAACTTGAATTATAAACAAGAACTACTTACATATTAGACGAGAGGGTCGAACAAAAATTACGAAATATCAGGAACCATGTGGCACACTAAGCTAGTTAAATTTTACATTTTAAATTACCATGTAAAAAAATCAAAATATTGTAGCATTGAGTAACAAATTATGCAATATCATTCCGTAATATTACCATTACACATTATATTACGCATCACGCGTACTATTTCGGGTGATATTGTGAGTAACCATCACGCTGTAATATTACCATCGCCCATTAAATTATGCATCATGCATACTGGTTCGGGTCGGGTGGTAGGTGTTAGTAGCGACACCTGGCGAGCACCGCTACTTAACGCTGCGGGGCGTTATACAAGGTTCCATCAAGAAGTAGGTGGTAAATTCGCTAAGTGACTATATTAATATAGATACTTAGTTTATTTCGGGAACGCCCTGCGAGAACAATGTTAAAAAAACGCTCCAAAATGTAAAATTCATCTTTTTTCTGCTTTGTTTTTGTCTCTGCCTTAGCTCAACACGACACATGAAACCATAATCTCAACTGTATTATTCCGAATTTCCGATCTAGAAATGACAGTGGGTGATGTTATGAGTAATACATAATTTTCCAAGTGACGCGTGATATCACATTACGCTGTCGCGTGATATCACGTTTGTATATTACTCACATTACTTATTCATTAAATCATCACAGCATCACTAAATTAAAAAATGTAGATGTCATTGTCAAGTTTAGTTTGTGATTTTTGCTTTGTAAATTCTTTCTTATTTGCTGTTTTATCGATTATCAAGTTAATTATCGAAATGTGTCTCGTATTGAAGAGTAGTATTCAGTGAAGTGCGAATATGCAATTAACAATACGTATTATTTGTCTGGCGTTTTTGTTTTCATGTGTGGTGGTATGAAACCAATGTTTGAATTTCATTTTGCCCATCTGCAACCTTGATTGTAACGATTATTGTATTTATTTTTCGGCAGTCACTGAATGATATTTAGCCAGTGCAAAACATTTGCAAGTCTTAGTTCCCAAATTATCGTTCAGTTTCATTTATTTTGCAGGGCCAACATCATGAAGACAAGAGATGCCGCTGCGTCTGCCCCAGTCCAGCTGCGGTGTTCAACAGCAGCTTGAGTACGGATAGGAAGCTTATTATTGCTAATGTGCCACCTAGCAAATGGTATTTCTTTTTTATTGAAACTCAATTATGGTGGGTGACTAAAATATCTATACTTTTTTTTATTTTCATTGCAGTGACTGCGATGGAGTGATTCTACCAATAGTAGGAAGTGAGATACGAGGCAGGGAAGCTGAGTTTTGTCCCCGCTGTGAGTGCAAATATGAAAGCAGGAATACTACAGTTATTATGGTAAATATATATTACTACTGAGTATTATGACCAACACAGGTTGACTATCACTGCTTTATGAGTTATAAAAGATCCTCTATTGATGTCGAAAGTCACCTTTAGACATGTTCATTGTGCAAGTCACTATGGATGTGCCTTTATCTCATTATTATAATTAGGGTGGCTTTGTTCAGGGTCTGAGCAGCCCGTCATCACAGTGGTGGTAGTAGATCAGGGGGCCTATCATAACCTTTCCAAAAACAATGTTATTTCAATGTAAGCTTAAAGTAAGCTTGTTATAACATTACTCATATTCGTACCATGACAAGTTTGTCTACCAAGAATTGTATTACTGCTAAAATGACTGAAAGAACGAATGATTTCCCAATATTGTCTATTCTTTACTAAAAATACGAAAAAGAAATAATGCTATATGAACTGTATTATGCCATCTCTTCCTTTTTTGATGTTTCGAATCGTGTTATCGTAGTATAATGTTATTTTATGTAATGTTATTTACATTCAGAGAATTTTAACTGCCAAAAAAAGAAAAGTGAAACAATTGATGGCTGTCGTCAATTGTTTCACTTCAAATTGCCCAGTCTAACTGGAGCTTTGCTATAATGGATGAAAATTGAAAAATTTATGTAATTTAATATTTGGTATTGGTATTGGTGCAACGGGCTAGTTTCCGCAACTCGACGTCGAGGCGCCTATTTTGCGTGTGGTGGGTGCAGGGTCCTACTCGTGCCACCCAAGCTCCTCCAGGAATCTCAGCAGCCTCTTCGGTTTTCTGAAGACTTCGGGGAGCGACCTCGGCACTCCAAGGTACTTTGCCCTGTAGTTGGCCACACCGGAGCACTCTAGTAGGATGTGTGCGGCCGTTTCCTCCCCCTCCATGCACGCTCTGCATAGAGGACTGTCCGTGATACCTAAATTGAAAAGGTGTTTATTGTATGGACCATGACCCGTTAGAGCGGCAGATAGAGTGCGCAGCTCTTGTCTTTCAAGTTTGATTAATTTACGAGATAGACTGGCGTTGAGCGTTGGGAGTGCTTCCCTAGCCTGTCTACAAACCGTAAGGGTTGTCCATATGTTATTATGAGAAGATTTTGTACCTTTGAGTATAGTTGTTCTTGACCATTGGTTGGGGAGGGACACTATGGGTTCTGGCCCTACAGCATCCGTCTCCGACCCTTTTCTAGCTAGTTCGTCTGCTGCGTCGTTGCCACGTGAGCCGCTGTGTCCTTTAATCCACTGTAGAATTACGTGGTTGTGTGTACATACCTCCATGAGTGCTTGATGGCATTCATATATAAGCCCTGAGTTAATGTCATAGCTGCTCAGCGCTTGAAGTACTGACATGCTGTCGGAGAGTATTCGAATGGAGTGATTCTTTACTCTTCTCGCTATTATTGCTTCTGCTGCCAACTTGATACCCATACATTCAGCCTGGAATACTGTGTTGTGGTCACCAAGCGGTGTTGATATTCTGATGTTGAGGTCTTCTGAGAACACCCCAGTACCTGTTCCTGAGTTTGTTTTTGATCCGTCAGTGAATACGCGGACCTCTCTGAGGTTTAGTCCTTCGTTGGGATCTTCAAACAATTGTATCCTGTATTTTTTGTCAAAAATGTATTGTTTTGGGATCCTATCCACAGTCGCCTCCAGTAGCGGTTCCTCTTTGACTATCTTGTAAAGGATTTCTGTATGTGGGGTCCTCATGTGCTTCCAAAGGCCGGCTCTCTTTAGTCGCACTGCTGTTGACGCCGCTTCCTGTCTGATAAACAGTGGGAGGGGTCGCAGGTCCAGCATCGCTTCGAGCGCCGCAGTTGGAGTTGTCCTCATGCAGCCGGTCGTCGCCATGCATGCTAGCCTTTGGAATTTGTCCAACTTGTCAGTTGCAGTCGTCAGCTTGGTTCGTGGCCACCAGGCTATCGCACCGTAACTAATCATAGGTCTTATCACCGTTGTGTAAAGCCATAGTGTTATCTTGGGTGAAAGTCCCCATTGTTTACCTACCATTCTACGGCATTGCCAGAAGGTGATAGTAGCTTTTTTAATTTTGTTGTCCAGGTGTTTGTTCCAGTTCAACTTGTTGTCCAGAATTACTCCCAGGTACTTGACATCAGTTGATAATTGTATTTCTGTACTAAAGAGTTTGGGTAGTAGGTAGTTACCCAGTAATCTTTTGTTTGTAAACATTACTAGTTCTGTTTTTGTTGGGTTAACTGTTAGTTCATATGCTCTACACCATCTTTCCACAATCCGGAGTGCAGCTTGTGTGATGTCACAGAGTGTACTGGCATAATTGCCTGTTATCAGTATGGCTATGTCATCAGCATAGCCTATTGTATAGAAGTGTTCTTTGTTAAGGTTGATGATGAGATCATTTACGACCATGTTCCATAGCAGAGGCGACAGTACTCCTCCTTGAGGGCACCCCTTCGCTACTACGGCCCATGGGGTCTCTTTCGCTGTAGTTCTTATTGTTCTTTGTTTGAGCATATTGCTAATCCAGCTGATCAGCACTTCATCCACTTCGTGTCTTCTTAGTGCTTCTTGTATGCTGGAGAAGTTGGTTTTATCAAAGGCTCCTTCGATATCTATAAAGGTGCCTAGGCAGATTGCCTTGCTTTTAAGGGCCTCTTCTATCTTGCCGACAACGGCATGTAGGGCCGATTCGGTGGACTTGCCTTGGCAGTATGCATGTTGGTTTCCGTGTAATGGAATGTTCTTTAGAGCTCCGTCCCTCAGTTCTCTGTCACATAGCCTCTCTAGCGTCTTCAAAAAGAACGATGTGAGGCTGATCGGCCTGAAGGATTTTGCATCAGTGTAGTCGTTCTTACCTGGTTTTGGTATAAAAATGACTTTTACGTCTCTCCAGCTATGGGGCACATAGCCGAAGGCTAGACAGGCCCGAAAGATGTCAACCAGGTGCCGGGCCAGTGTGTCCCCACCCCATTGTAGGAGTGCGGGAAAAACTCCATCTTGGCCCGGAGCTTTGTATGGTTCGAATGTGTTCACTGCCCATTTTGTTTTTTCGTATGTTACTACTTGTTCAGCGTATCGCCAGTTTCGGGTCGATGTGTTGTAGTTCATTTCTTCGCGCCTGTCATCTCGGACGAACCTGCATCCTGGGAAATGTGCTTCCAGTAGGGTTCTTTCCGTTTCTTCAGGGGAAGTTGTGAATGTGTTGTTTGTTTTACGTATTGAACCTAGTTCACTTGCATTTGAGTTCGCTAGGATTTTTCTTACTCTGTTCGCTTGTGCACAAGACGTGATGTTCCCGCAGTAGCCTCGCCATGACGCGGTGCTCCTGAATCGTATGCGTTTCTTTAATTTGGATTTGGCCGTCTTGTAATTTTCCCAGTCCTCATCCGCGCATGTGTTCATTGCTCTATTGAAGTGTCTCCTTACCCTTCTTCGCAGCCTCTCAAGCTCAGGCCCCCACCATTGGTGGCCTTGTCGCGGGGCTGGGTCACTTAATGGGCATGCGGAGTTGTAACTCTTCAATATGTTTGACGTCAGTTCTTTAACCTTTATTTCTATCTGCGCTGTGTCCAGCAGTCTTCCCGGTGCTACCGGTTTCTCCAGGCTCTGGTGTAGTTTGTCAGTGTAAATTTTCCGATCGGTTTTTCTGGGGTTCCGTTTCGGTTGTTGTACTTTGATAACTGTTTCTAAGTTGAATCTTATCCATCTGTGGTCCGAGAGAGATGCTTCTTCGGACACGTGCCAGTCATGGACAAGATTCGCTGCTCCGTCTGACGCTAGGGTTAGGTCTATGATGGTTCTACTCCTTTTATTTACAAAAGTTGGTGTTGTACCTTTATTGAGAATTTGAAGGTTAGTTGTAAATAAGTATTCTGTTAAGTTCTTACCTCTTTCATTCGCGAGTTCCATGCCCCACAGCGGATGGTGGGCATTGGAGTCAGTGGCCACGACAATGTGCTGGCCGTTCTGCTCGCAGTGGTTGATTAGCTGTACCATTTCCTGTGGTGGTGGCATATCAGTCTCCGCCATATAGACAGAGGCGAGTACCACTTCAGGCAGGCCCGTGGCCGCGTCAGCTAGAAGCTTTACGGCACACAGGTCTCTGGAACAGAATTGTGTTAGTGGCTGTATGTGTAACTTGTTTGAATAGTATATACATGTCCGTGGTTTATCTGAGATAGTAGTGGATAGTAGCTTACCTCTCAGATGTGAGAGTCCATTTATTTGGCCGCGGGCGCCGATCCACGGTTCCTGAATCAGCGCCACGGCTGTGTCGTTTGCCTCCAACCACTTCCGAAGCTGAACCGTTGCGGTCTGACTGTGGTGGAGGTTGCACTGGATGACGGTACAATTATTGGGCGAGGGGGACACCGCCATCAGCCGATAGCAGTATGTCGTCCTCATCCTCGCTCAGGCAGATGTCTCCCATCGCCGACACACACTCGTCCTCACTATTGGACGCCACCGTATGGCTGGCGACGTCCACAGGGACGGGGGTCAGGGAGGGCCCTTTTCCTTCTCTGGTGAAGCCAGTGGAGGTAGAGGGCACCGGGGAGGCATCTGTTTTGTTGGTTGATGTACCTGCCTTTTCAGGCGGCACATCCGTGTACACTCCTCTTCTGGACCTGAATCGCAGGTAGACCGTGCCTAACTGAAAAGTAAAGCGCCGGCCATGCCCCACGATAACAGGTACCAGGTCCTCAGGTAGGCTTACCACCACAAAAGTGTTTTCTTGTTGCTGTTGCAACCTGTGGACAACCCATCTGTGGACCTCCGCCCACTTGTTCTGCCAAGTGAGCAAGTGTCCGATACGGCGCGCTTCCTCCCAATGACCGGGGATCAGCAGTCCACAGACCACCCTCCGGGGAGCCTCCACCCCATTTTTCAATGAGAGGGGCTCCCCGGTGGGCAGCCTGATGGTGCTGATTGCGTCCTCTAGCCATTGAAAGGTGGCATTGTCCTGGCACCACAGCTTTAGGGACCCGTCGCTATAGACGGGTTTACCTCGGAACTGTGGGCCGACGTCCTCCTCACCGCATTCCTCTGCTCCTTGAGAGAGGCGCTCACAAAGGGCCTTCTGTATCATGTCTGATTCAGGGCTCCTTATGTATCCAGTCTTGGCCGAGGTGATCACCGCTAGAAGTTCCGGTGCGGTGGCCTCGGCATACGTTCTTGACTGGGCGGGCCTCTCGACTTTTTGCCTTTTGCGCTCGCCTCTTGGAGAAAATGTCTCGTCAAGACGGGCACGTTTGGCATAGGTCGAGGACCTCTGTGCCTTTTGTGTTTGTTGGTTCCTTGGGGGGAGGGGGGCCCTTCCAGGGGCGTGCGAGTCCGGTTCAGTGGGTCGCACTAACGCGGTCTCTGCACCATTCCCGCCACCCGCTGGGGGCCGCGCCGCTCCCTCTTTCGGATTACCCTTCATCTCGCGGCGTTCACGTTCACGGAGACGACCCCGTTTGTTCTTTCGGGCAGGGCGTCCCCTGCTCCCGCTGGGAGCTGGAGGTGGTCGCTCGCCTTGGCCACTTTCTCCTTCCATATGGATGGGTGCCGTGGTTTTGGGCTTGCGACTCACCAGAGTCCACCCTGCCTCAAGGGCAGTATATGTTGGGTTCTGCGATGCAGAGCCAGATGTCTGAGCGGGGGCCACAGAGCACGAGTCTCGGGCCGCTACCGCTGGTGTAGGGCCAGCACCGGCATCGGTACGCGGTTGGCCTTGGGGTTTCCCCTTTGGCCTACCACTCACCGTAGGGCGCTGCTGTACGTTCGAGTTTGTGTTTGATGGGGCACTTTTGGGTTTCCCCTCCAGTACCACCGGTTTTGGGTGATTTGGTGATTTTTGTTGATCTGCAGAATCCATATTGCAGTGTTCTTATGATTCACTCTCCTGATTTCCCACCCACCACGGAGCCCGCACCTTTGGGGATGTCCCATTCGGGACACCAGGATTATCAGGAGAGTATAGGTGCAGAGGTTAGGAGCTCACTGCGCGACATCGGGGGCTCGAAACGTGCGGCTGGCTGACCCGATCAAAGTCAGCCAGGTGTTCCGCACATACTCACCCCGTCAGCATGGCCGAGTCCGTCCCCCCCACACCTCGCCTGTGGCCCTCTGACGGGACACATTGCCGTTTCCCTGTGTTGGCTAGTCACAGGGCTACCGTTTGGCAGGAAATCAGGGCCAAAGGGGGCGTATTGCTTGCCGGGGTCCCCACCCCGCTCGGGCTCAACCCCCCCAGGATTCCTTCATCCCTGCGTACGGCGCTCAACTGCGTAGGCATGAACGCAGGAGTATGTAAATTAAGACCGCCCACCACTTGCCATGGTCCACCCTCATAAACGCATGGCCGGGCCGTGTTGATCGCTTCGCGCCCTCACTGGTAAGACTCAGACTGAAGCCGAGAGTTGTCAGTGTTGGCCCCAGGGTGTACCGGCTACACCCTTGGGCTTTCTGTGACAACATGTCATCACAGACTGCTCAAGGACTTCGCACGCGTGGAGGTGGAACAACGAACACACCCCTAATTTAATATTTAAATACCAATGAAATGTCATTCTGTTTGTTTTGTACATAGATGTTTTGCTGTTTTTCCCACACTACCGAATGAAACAGACCCCCTAGTTAGAGATATTATCTTTATTACAATAAATACAGTATATTTTTGGAATAAACTGAGATGTGTGATGTTCTAAACAGGTGTTTTAGAACAGATGGAAATAATTAGGTACAACAACAGGGGTTGTATAATAAATGAACAATTGAATTTTGCATCATGACCTTTATTATGGGTATTTTTGGGTTTCAACACTAGCAACAATGGGGGTAGCGGGATATAAATACACCAACCATTCTGAATGAGCTCACTCTTCGGCCAAGTGTCGAGCATTCAACAGCCCCTGTGGATGCCTTTTGAAGAGGCGAAACACATGTCGGATATATTTTTGGTGGTGGTTTGTGACTGTAGTTGCGTTTGCGTTATTCGGGAGGGTGGGATAATTAACTGCATGAAAAAATATTCAACATAAGTGCAGCTATTTTGCATGATTGAATGAATGAATCTTCACTGAGTACGCGGAGTAGAAAATTAATTTACTTTCATTTTTATTAACAGACTTTTGCAAAGTGACGCCTGAATCTATTAATTACAGGTCAGTTGTTGGCGATGACCATTTTAAGCTTTCTAATTTGTAATTTCAGCACAAACGAGAGTTGATGTTTTAAAGTGATATTTGTACCATTTCATAGATGAGTTGCCAGAGATGGATGGCCCTTATTTTGTCTCTGCTTCTGGTTATAATATACTCGATGGTTCAATCTATCACTCTTTACACTGTTTGGTACTGTAAGCAGTTGTCAGGGCTTTTGAATGACTTGGTCTGAAGACAGATGTCTCGAGAGACATGTGTGCTCTGGTTCAGCAGAGTGAGCTTGGCAGCAAAAGGGTTTGGGATCAATGAAGGCCTCCCTAGCACCAGCCTTTCCCAGCTCATAGGTACTTTTTCTAAGGGCGAGGAGTGAGCGACTCCCTGCGTCGTTATGGCGACTAATTCTCCTGCCTAATCGTTCCTTAGAGGAACTATATCCCGTTTGCCAGAACAACGTGCTATTTATTTAGGTCTAGAGATAACACGTTGTTCTGGCAAACGGGTGAATTATGGCTTCGCGATCACAGCAACGTTAATCACTCTGCCAAGTGTTAGCCTCACTCAACCTTTATTGAAAAAAAATCTGAACTAAAGAAAATGTACTTTTTTTATAATATCTAGTGACGGGACGAACTAGTCGTGCGCCTGGTGGTAAGCTACACGCCTGTCCATAACAGTTGCAGTGCCACTCAGAGCTTTAAATCGCAAGATTGTATATTCTAGAACCCTACTCCATGCTCAAGTCAGGACTTGAGTATGATTTCTAGCACTGGAAATACGACTCTAATGGCAGGGACTTGAGTATGATTTCGAGTGCTTTAAATCATACTCAAGTCCTGACTTGAGCATTGAGTAGAGTTCTGGTTTACGACCATGAGACTGCCACTGCAATGTCAGAGTTGACACTTTTACGTTGCTGTGACTATTATGGTTGACTGATTGTTAAATTTAAAGTCGTAACAGTTTAACATTGATTAAATCAAGTCTCAAGTAAAGTTTACGAAGTTTATAAGAACGTAAAATTAACTTCAAACCACTCAACAGGCTTGTATTAGTAGAAAATTGAAAAAAACAAATGAATGAAAAAAATTACAATCTTCTACATTTTTATTTTGTTATTATACCTAAAAGAAGAAGTAAAAAAACAAAAATGTAAGTGTTCTGCTGAATGTGCTGGTGTATTTATAAAAAAATAATGCAATGACCATTTTTCTCAAAAGTACAAACACTTTTGAGAAACACAAAAAATAAAACCAGTAAATTAAAGTACGATAACGTTTTCTTATTTTATGTACTTTTTTAAAAACAGGTGGTTGTTGTGATGGTAATATGGATAATCACCACATTGCTGATCTACATGGGCTTCCTTATGTGCCTGGACCCCCTTATGAACAGGAGAAAGAAAAACTATAAGGAAGAAGGTGTGGATGAGGTAAGCTCTCAAAGAGGCCCTATAGTGTGGCCCTCAAGGAGTCCCATGTTGTGTGATTACTATTTGAGTCAATGCAATAGAATGAAACACTTTTTCATATCTAAATTGCGTCCATTCATCCTTCAAATACAATCGCAAATGTGAAAACCTATATAGAAAACTCAATGCAATAATAAGTAATTTGTTAATACATAATGTTTTTGTGGCAACATAGCCCTTTAAAACAATTTGTATGGAAGTGTTTTACATGTTTGTACTCTTGACCTTAGAATAATAACGCACTCTTGACATTCGATACTCTCCAACGCATATTACACTACCCGATTTCAAGGGTCCCAACTCCAACTTGGGGAGGTGTAACAGACGTTAGGGTCCCTAATTACGGCGGCTTTTATATAAATTAACCATTGACCTACCAACAAATGGACGTCGGGTCTAATACAAAAACCACGAAAAAATATCGGAAGTTAAACTATACAAACATAGTGACATGTTACGAAATATAGAAAAACTAAAACATTTAATTTAAATTGTCTGACTTCTGAAAGGTAACCCAAGCCGTAAAACGAGTACAACAATATTTTGTTAGTTGCTAACGTTCAATAAAACGTCATTTTAAAAATAAGACTAAAATCAACTCGACTGTAGTTTCTTTGTTCCAAATATTTCAATCGCTTATGGTTCGAACAATTGAAAATGATCAAGAAGTTTATATAAGATTCTTGAAATTGACGTAATGGGTCTCTTTCCATCTTTTGCGCATGCAATGTGTAGAAAAAGGACAGCTAGCTACTTGATTATTTTGTTTGCTTTTGTAATTTATATTTACGATTAATTTGTATATAAATTAAATACTGTACAACTGTACAAAATAACACTTTTAAATGATAATCATGTCAACACAATGTATTTGTTTAGTGAAAATATGATACAAAATCCTGTTTTTACAGTTTACCGCAGTAATTTTTACAATTTATTATTATATAGTACTGCATAATTGACAACCGCGCTGTCAGTCGAACAAACGAAGACTAGCGCGAGTAACGCCCTATAGGTGCGGACACTTTTTAACTCAAACCCGACGGCCATTTGTTCGTAGGTCAATGAAATTAACACTAAATAATAATTGGATGGCGAGTAGGACCCCACCACCATACCTTGAGACCACGCCCATCCTTGAATCAGGGGGTCTTCTTTCTTTCTCCATCAGATGTCCGTCCGCAATTATTGTCAAATAATTAATACTCGACCAACGACCAACTCGACGAATGTCAAGTATGAAGCTTCATCCGCATTAAGCGTCTTTTTTAATTTAGTCGAGTATTACTTATTTTATTTATTATTTTATTTTATTAATTGCTCCGGACGAGTGTCGAGCGGAGTACGAGTGGACAGGACCTGGGCCCTTGAAATTCAGCTGACGCACTGCGCGTACAATATTATAACGCGTTCAGGATGCTGTTGGATCTGCCACGGTTCTGCAGAGCTTCCGGTATGTTCGCGGAGACGGCAACGGAAGATTTCCACGCGATCCTGCGCAAGCGTACTGCGTCGCTGCTGAGCCGCCTGAGTAGATCGTCTAACAGCATCCTGAACGTTTTTAGTGACCGGTGGGACTCTCCGCTGCTACACCAGTTGATGTGCTTGCATGCTGACCAGCACGTAGGTGGATAGTGATAGCGGTTGAGACCCATGACGTATTTTTAATTTTAATTTAATATATTATTTTATTTCATTTCATTTTTGTGACTCGTGTACTGCAATATTTCTATGCCGTAATATTTAGCGAAATAAAATATTTTGAATTTGAATTTGAAATTGGGTATTGTAATATTATGTGCTTTAGTAGTACTGGTAGATTTGTTAATATCAGTGTTGCTAGAGCCCATGAGTCGAATATTACGTTTTGTTTTCTGAAAGGTTACATTTTTGTTACATTTTAATTTTTTAAATCAATTTATAACGATAGTTATATATTATATTTTTATGCGCCTTAATCCTAAAAACCAAAAAAGTAGGTACGATCAAGAAAAGTAAAGTTGTAACAAGTAAATGGTTGATCTTTGCCCCATCTCTGATATACTTTATTGTCTAATTTGGGTGCGTTCGTTAAGTATTTAGGATTTACACTAACAAATATTTATATTTGAATTTTTAAAATAAAGTTATGAAAATTGCCTTAAAAACAAACTTTCATATGACGCGAGAGAGTCAAAAGTCACTTGGCAACACCGGTAAATATAGCTATCACAAACATATGTTGACCTTGAGTTTATTTGTTTGATAGTGTGTGCACAATAAATAATGTTACGTGATTACTTATTCAAAGTTTGATGCCTGTTTGTGTTTAAGCTTTTCTTATCTATTCATTCTCTATTTTTAGAGTCGGAACTTGTTACTGGGAGCTGATGCAGAAGACTGAAAAGGATTAGAAGCACTAGGCGCCGGTGGCGGCGGTGGCTGTACGACGCCATCTTTGATAGCTAGTTGCCATATTGAATAAGTTAATGCAAGGCCAAAGTAGATTTAATTTATGTGATGCTTTTTTAAACTTTTTTATACAAATGTATACCATACGAGTTACTTATATAATTGATTTAAAACGACGCATAAAATGCCTTGAAAATTTACCATTTATCATTCATATATATCATTTTACTATTTATGCATTTATTTTGTAGCTTTTTTATAATTTGTAATCAGTTTGAAACATTTTTGTAAAGACATGTGCATTTGGGAGCAAAGTTAAGTGATTGTTTGTGTTTAACCATCACACGTAAAAACCAGGAATGGCGTGGTTAATTTGTTCTTAATTAAACAAGTACTGAATGTAGTAGGATGCTTAAAATTACCGACTTGTATTAGGAGTTACATTTTTAATTTTGTAAACTTGATAATGATATGAAAGTAATGTAATATATTTTCTGAAAATTTTTGGAAAGTCATTACTACATTGCATTACATGTAATAACATGTATGTACGTAATGTAGTCTAAAACATAACGACCAATTAAATATGGACTTTAATATATAACAAAAAAAAAAGCGATAGTCCCTGTTTATCCCAATGGGAATCCAATGGCGTATGTACGAGGGCAGTTTGAGAAGTCCGTGACTATGAAAAGAAAAAAAAAATTATGGCTTGACCAGTGATATCCCAACTTTTCTAATCCACCAAAATAGTATTTTTTGAAACTACTTTTCCAGATTTAAATGGCGTATATTTGTTTTGTTTTTCAAACAAACCAACGTTTCGGGCCATTTATAGGTCCGTGATCACGGTTAACTGACAGTCAATGTTGACTGAAAGTCAAACAGGGCCCGAAACCTTGGTTTGTTTGAAAAAACCAAATATACGCGATTTAAATCCGGAAAAATAGTTTCATTTCCAAATGTGTAACAATCGTGAAAACCTAAGAACTCGATAGTATTTTTGTCAAACTGAAAATTAAGCTCGGTTCGGCATTCATTTTCTCATTTGATGTAAATCGGTAGATAAAAAAGTCAAATGGGGCCAAATCTAGTGAATACGGAGCGTGTGGCAATAGTTCGTTATTCGACAAGTTTTAATGTGGGCCGTAGTGTAAGTTCTCAAATGGTTGAACTTGCCTATCGCGTTTGCATTAAGATCACAATCTAAACCTTATAGATTCATTGATTAAGGTAAGAAGTTAGATTGATAATATAAAATCTCTATTGCCTCCAAAATAAACAAAATAAAATTACAAAAACCTTAACAAAAAATTACACAGAACATTCTAAGCAAAATATTTTGGAATTAGAAATTATGATTATTATAACAACAGGAGCCAAACGGAGGTGTCTCGGCTGGTGCTGCTCCTGTTCAAAGCAGTCGCAGTGCTGGTTTTAAGTCACGCTAAGAATGATTACAAGTTTAGACTTCGGCCTGTGATTGCAGATGAGAAACGGAACACTCTGAATTCCGTTTTCTCCGTCATCATGCCGGGTGCACGAGTCGCTCGAATGCGCAGCGCCTGGTCCTTGTTTTGGTTTTATTGGACGCGTGGACGCTGCTGCTCTGTGATTGGCCAGTGGTGCTGTCCTCCGCAAACGTTCCCTGTTGCTTGCGAGGAAATATCAAACTTGTTAGATATCAAACTCACCTGCTGGTGCTAGCTAGCGACTCGTGAACAGTCCTTCCGCGTACGCGACAGATCTTTGCGTATGCGGGAAGCGAGTCACGCAAGCCAGCGAAATACGCAAGTGAAAGACTTGAACCCGGCATCAAAAATATATAGACCTCACCTAACTTTTTTTATTTTTGCTCTAATTTAAAAAAAAAAAGAAAGTATCGTCAGCTGCTTAGTTCTAAATGAAGAAATATAAATAAATTCCGAAAAAAGTTTTATTTAATTTTAAAGTGACGCGTTTATTAAACCGCTCTCGTATATACGTATTACCTATATATAATGTGTGTAAAAAGGAATGACCGGTCCAGGTCTTAGCGTTAATAACTTATTTGTGAGAATTTGTGAAAACGCGGCGCTGTGATGTATGACTGTAATAAGCTGGCAGTTAAAAAAACCAGCAAATAGTCTGTACAGTAAGCTACTCGCCTGTCCGTAACAGTTAGCTTTAAATCGCAAAGATCTGAGTGGCACTGCCACTGTGGCCGTCACCATGAGACATACGTTGACAAGTCTCATGTGCCTATAATTTCACCAGCACTCTTACTCTTCAAAACCGGAAAACAGTAATGCTTACATTATTGCTAGGCGGCAGAAATAGATAAGGTGGCATTATTTTAGGTTGCCTAGAAGAAATTGCTACAACATAGCTGCCTGTTGCACGTTCACTACTATCTTTATACATAACTTGTGTATTGTATTTTAACTGGAAATTTCATATGCAATAAAGAATATGTCATTACCCTGAACGAACTTTTTCACAATTGAGCTCTACTGAGTTTGTAGCATGTACTTATTCAATTACGTGTATTATTTAAGTTTGTTCAGTAGCAGTAGAAGTACTTGTGCGAGTTCGTCCAGGAAGGTACTGCCACTGCATCGTATTTCTGCCGCCAAGCAGTAATGTGAGCTAATGCTCACGGAGTAATCTCCGTTCCGGTTTTGTAGCGTAAGTGTTGCTGCAAGCACATGGAATTGGAACTTTATCTCAGGGTGATGGGCGCAGTGGCAGTGCCCCTTGGATATTTGTAATTTAAAGCTCTGTGCGGCGCTGTCACTGTTTTTGGGTAGGCGTGACGCTTATCCCCAGGCGCATGATTTAATAGTCTCTTTACTTATTATAGTAAACAAATTGTTAAATATTCATAGTCACAGTATTCATGTTTTACTTTGCGGTCTCATGAAATAATATTCTCCTTTGTAGTTATCCCGAACTGAATAATTACAGATTCCCAGTACATGTTACTGTACATAATAAACTTTGTTACACCTGCTAACCACTCTAGGTTACACACGGAGACTTATAGTACACTTGCGATTTATAGGCGATTGCATCGACGCAATCGCGCGTTTGTATCGATGCAGTCGCGCGATTGCGTCGCTGCTTAATATCGCGCGCGTGTAGTCGCCGTGTGTAATCGCTTTTAGAAGCAGAACTTAGATTTCTTACTTATAGTATTATATGTATAGTTTTAAGGGATATAAAGTTTTGAACTTTGACTCACTCTTACTTTGTTTCATTCGAACGGTATTAAAAAACATTTTATCTAAAAACAAAAATTTATTTCATTATTCCTTATAAAACAATAAATAACACATTATGTACATACATCCAGAATTCTCGATTATACAAATAAGAAATGTTAAAAAAATAATCAAATAATTTTATTCATTACGTCAAAATAAAAATTACGAAGACGGCATAATAAAGTGTTATTAATTAGTAACATTTGTATATACAATGGCTAAGAAATTTAATCTGATGCTCAATTAATTTGTGATTTCATACAAACATACATTAAAGCCCATGAATAAAATACTAACTATATCAGCGCTAATTTCTTACGTATAATAACGCTATTTAGCTATAAATAATAATTTACATAAAGCGACGCACTCACGATTTGCACTCTGAGCAACATACCAGGGAATGAAAATGGTATCGCGATTCCATCAGTTTTTTCAAAGCTCTACGACAATAAGTGCGTGCAGCGCCGGTGCCAGCCCCTGTAACGCCCGGGTGATATCAATACCCTGGCGCCCTTTAGTAGGCACGCGATCAAAAGTTATTGTCCCTTCAAGAGCCCGCTCGCTTGTTCTACTGCGGATGCACCGCGAGAGACACAAGCACCTTAGGAAAAGCCGGCACCGTTTACGTAAGCCACCGATGTCTCACGATACGTTTTCAGTGCAGTCCTTTACCTCTAATAAGCATAGGTATTATACTTGATTGCGTGGTATCACTAAAGTATGTTCGTCACATCTAATCAGCTAAATGTGCTTTGCGTCGTAATTTATTATATTATCTAAGGATATATACAAACCCTGAAAAAATTAAAATACATCCAAAAAAAGGCCAAACCAACACAAGCCTATCGAATGTTGGCCATTACGTCGTGCAGTGAATGTATCGTTTTAGATTCTACAAAGATAAAATTGATACTTTTACACCAAAAGTACGTACAAAATATAAAATACAAATAATTACAATGTTATCTTAAAACACACACACACACACACACACATAATAATTACAGGCTACCACGAGAAAGTTTTATATGGTTTCTGATTGCTACAAAATTACAATATTGCTTGCTCTTTTTATAGCCGTCAGCATTTTTCATTGTATCATCGCATGAAAAACGTGGTAACACTTCTAATGATATCCTCTTTACACATATAACAGGTGTTGCTTTATTTACTGTTATCTAATGATATATGTATACGAACACATTATATCCTTTACAGTGACATATGGTAGCAATGTATATGTACAGGCAACTCTATTCATGTTGTTCAAAAAGTATTTTTATAACAATGTGGCGTGTTTGGAGGTAGAAAAGCTGTAATATTATTTAACTAGAGGACTATTTTACTAGTTAGGATTATTGCTTGTGAGACTACACTAGTTTCAAACATAAAGCGTGCGACTTTCCGATAATTCGATCGACACGTAAGTATGAAATTCTTGTCGCACTTGTGTCTCTAACATGTCCGAAAGTGTGCAGCATGCTTTATTTAAACATTTGTGAATTTTCGCAGCAATATGTAAGTAATATTTAAAATTCTTGTCTAATATAATAATAATAATAACCGTTACATGGTTGAAATTGTTATTAAAAATAATCACTTTAATTACGAACACTAAATTTTTTGTACCCAATGAATATACTTATTCAATTAGTCTACATTAAAATAGCAAACGAAGCAATAACAGCATAAAGATAATCGAAATACTTTGGAAACTCGGAAGGCAACACACACAATTGCTCAATAAAACTATTAACATTAAAAGTTACTGAAAGATTTGCAAAAGCATATTTATACATTTTATTAATTAATTGGACTTATGTATTATGTAAATTCAAACACCATCGACGGGGCCTGCAACATATTGAATGATGGCGTTTTGTGGACGAACCATGCGTCCAAAGGGGTGAATCCAGATTGCATAGAGCGGTTACACACGGCGACTGTAACTGACTAACTAAAGGCAGCGATGTAAACGCGATGCAGTAGCTAACCGTCTACTTTTACACACACGCGCGACTTTAAGAAGACTTATAAACGCGCGACTGTGTAACCACTTTTATGTTGAACCATTATGTGCGAAATATCTGTATAGGTTTATGCACTTTGTTTTATTATTAATTGTAAATTTAAAATTGAAATAAATTAATAAAATAAATTAATTAAAAACGTGGAACGCATTTGCATCGCGATTGTATCGCTACTAAGTCGCACGTGTGTGTAAAGATAGATGCGCCGCAGACGCGCTGCTAAAAGTAGCTGTGTGTAACATTCATACATAAAAAGTGGATTATATGTAGGTATTAAATTAATAGTGTAACACGTAAGCCAACGTGTATCGTGAGAAGAGCGACCAGGTGCATTCCATTAGGCTTAGTTGAGCATTGTGTGCCTGTCGTAGATGTTGCGTCGTTGTTCGCGGACCTGCCGCTTCCATTTGTCCTGTTGATGAGTGACGCGGTTCAATACGTTGCCCCGTACGCCCATCTGCTGCGACGGCCCACTGACTGAGCCCTCATCCTGAAATTGATATTTATTCATCACACTTGCTCGTAAATAGTATGGTGGCTAACTTGACTCTAATACTCCAAATAGAAGCCTGAGGCCTTTTTACTTCTCATTACAGCCATGGTCGGTAAGATTTTTTCAATTTGTAGCACGACATACTTCCTTGTATAGGTCAAGTTCAAACAAGAGGTTACTTAATAAAAAAAAAAAAATTTTTCGTTTAAAATGTATCTAAACAGAAATTGCTTTAAATACTTATAGAAGTGTTAATTAATATAGTAAATTGAGCTAATTTTTTTACAACCTATCACGGCTGTTTGCCTCTTTGCTTTTCACAACATTTTAGTTCGAGTTGTATTATCTATGGAAAAATAGCTAGTTGGCCATCTGTTGATAAAAAAAAATCCATAATTGTTGTGTTGTAAACCCTATTTACTCATACAATAAATAAACATTGTATTAATTTTCTCGCATATGTGATGAAAAACATTGTATGTATCGGACTCATCATAAAAAAAACAAAACTCGCTTACCCTTAACGCAGGGTCATTAAATCGAGTAGTTTAAAAAGTGTGTTATGGTCGACCTAAATATAAGTTAATAAATATAAGTTAATAAGAGCAGTGTCCTAATTAAGGACCACGCCTACGATTAAAGCAGGGCCCTTGAAATCGGGTAGCGTAATAGCGTTTTAAGGAGGTGCTATAACAGTGAGGAAGTTAGGGTGCATTTTTGTATTGAAAAAATTAAGTACAAAATTGAAGAAAAATAAATGTTTAAAATGTTATTGACATTTTAAAGCTTTCGTGTTCAATAAGTAAATGATTATTTCTAATTACGGGTATTAAATGCGTAAATAAAAACAATAGAAGTGTAAGGCAAGCCTCAATTATTATCAGAACCGCTGTCGCCAAAACTCACTATGTTCATAATTTGAAAAACTATCTTAGAAATCTTGATGATTGGTCGTAGTTTCAAATTTAAAAAGAAATAATTCTGGACTGTTAATATAATTGAAACTTTACCCTGATGGCATATCGTTGGGAGTTCAATACCTATTATTGCAAGTTACGACGTTTTGGTTTTATACTGAAATTTCAATAAATGTGCTGCCATCTAGCGGTTAATAGCTGACCGACGACGAATTAAGTATGTTTATTTAGTTAGTTTATTGCAGCGGTATAAGGTTTACTCTCGTTTCTTGTAACAAAAAAATATGTACATAATTAAAATTGAAACTTTTAACGTACTTTGTACGGAATTAACGTACAAAGCGAAAATGGAGGACTGACCTCTAAGCACTTCTATTGTATTTATTGTTCTGTGAGTGGTACTTACATCTTCATTAGTGTGCTCTTGGTAAGAAGCTTTGGCCCTCTTGTTGATGAGTGGGTCCAAGCAGATGAGGAAACCCATGTAGACCACCAGCAACATGATCACCCAGATCACTATGATCACTACCACCTGGTGATTAAATTATATACATAATAAAAGTACCAAATAAAGATGGGAAAACTTCATTGGTGAAAAAACCCATCACATTATATCGAGTCTTATTGTGGAAATGTACTACAAGTAGATATGAATTATTGCACCTGGAACTGGCGTTAGAATTCTTAATGATTCATTACTCTTGGGTTTGTATTAGTATTGCAAGGGAAGTGTCATAAAGGAAACAAATGCCAAAAGTAAGTTTTCATGGAAATGGAAGCATGGATTCATAATTGAACTTAACACTGACAAAAATGTTAAAAATCGCGGGCCCACCTCCTAGCAATCCGCGCGCGATTCGTCGTGAACGTTGTAAACTTCTAATTAAAGTTTCGCAGTGACATCTCAACCGATTATAGGCTTTAATAATTGATGAGTAAAAACAACAATTTAATTATTTGAGTAATATTTCAACAGTGTTACCTTGATGATGGTGGTGTTTCTGTTTTCATATTTGCATTCGCATCGCGGGCAGAACTCTTGCCCACGACTTTTGATCTCTGCGTCTACTTGAGGCAGGATTACCCCATCACAGTCACTGTTAAAAGTACAGAATATTATTAACAATGTTTTGACATTTAAAGATTACCTTAGAATGTCCACCAATCTTGAAGAAAGAAAGCTCTCAAGAATGCAGAAGATCAAGATTGGTGGCCAAGGTTAGCCTTATTTTCCAGTTACCGAATTGCGAAATGATGCTAGCCTGTGCATTATAGTTGTACTAATATCTGTAGGTGAGAGGTAAAGAAACTTAAGTGCCAAATAGTAATTTTTACTACAGAGCGTTTTAAAAAAATAATGTTAGGGTAAAATAAGCTAAGTTACATAAAAAAACAAACGACGAGAGGATTGAAAGTTCTTTAAGTTTGGATGATTTTTAGTACTGTTTGTAGCAAAGCAATGTTTGTAAAAACATTTACCTACAAACATAATGACTAAAACATTATCATTTCAGACGAAATACGTTCTTTGCTGGACATAGGCCTCCTCCAAAGAACGCCACAACGACCGGTCTTGTGCTGCTTGCACCAGCGGACCAGCAACCTTCACCAGGACCTCACAAATGACAGTTAGTTAATGACATTACCCAGTTAATGACATAATACTATAATAATCCATAATTTATATTGACCAAATCGTTTTTTTTTTAAATAATAACGCACACACTTTTTAGAGTGTGCGCCAAATAAATGTAGGTCATACAAATATTTCTCCCGGCCCAGAAATCGATATCAGGACCTAGGCGTGGTAGACTAGTTCCGCCACGGATGCAGTTAGTAGGTAGCATGCAGAATTGTCTGCATGTTAGACAATATAAGTTGATAAAACTGCTTAGGAAATGTTGGTTAAGAATATTAAGTTCTATTGACTACAGTTATACCTAACAATACTCACATATTTTGTTGTTCCGATAGCCCATATACAGGGTTATTTTTAATATACCAACAACCTCGCAGGACTATATTACCAACATCATAAACAACAACTTTTGTTACATGACTTTTAATAATTCAGCAGATTTGGTTTTCATACAAAAATAAATATGTTTAAATAGATCACTCAAAATAAAAACTCGGTGCATGCCGCGGGTGGGAGTCGTCCTTGACGACCGCGACACTTGCACGTTTGAACTTACCTTACTACCAAATACAGAGGCCTGAGTGTAAAGAGGGATGGCGACATCCCGTACATTACAAAATACAGCATATCGTCAAAAACACTGGTTATAAAACCCAGTGTTTTAGACGACGTGCTATAGAGAGACCCATACAATAGAGATCAATACTTGTGATTCATTACCAAAGCATCAAAAAAGCTATTTGAGTACAGCCTGTAGAAGCTGGGGTTATAAAGTTGATATAGGTTATGTTTATAACATTGTCCGGTATTTCGCTTCAGATGTTTGTTCATAGTAGCAGAAAACAACAAGTTTTTAGTTTATTCCCGAAAATAATAAATAACTTCCTGAATATTTCCAAATCTGCTAAACTCTGCCACATTTACACTTATCATGTTCTGCAGTAATGAAAATGAATATTAATCAAATCTGCCCAAATGGCAGAAATCTGCCACAAATGGTCATACTGTCTCAATATAAATGTGACACTGACATTGGCAAGAGGTCTCTTGACAAAACCTTCCTTTACAACTTTTCAATAACTCACATTTAAATATTGTCTAAATATTTTTGTCACATTGTTATTTATTTTTTGCTTTACGTCATTACTGTTCAATTGATTATTTTATTAGGTATTTTATAGCTTTAATGTTTTATGTGTGTACTATAAAATAACCATACTTTAGGAAGGAAAAAATGAAATCATTCTTAAAATGAAATGTATGTACAAAAACATTACCTAATCTATGGTCGAACTGAAACAATTGCACTGTGTTCTTATGTCTATTTTAAAACACACTGTTTTGCAATTTCTTTATTCCCGACTTTTAAAACTATACAAAAATATATTAATAACTAGGCATAAACTAAAACGTAACATTATACTAGTAAAGTTCATGAACAGCACTTTGTGGATTTTGTTTCAGCTTTCGCCATCCTTCTTTGTAATCATTCAGACTTAACTACCGCATATGCATTAAAATTTTTATTAGATCTTCATTATATCGACCCCTCCTACGTAAAGTATTGTATGTTGAAATTAACAAGTTTATAGGGGAGCGTTTTCAAGTTTTTAATTCACTGAATTGAGTCTAATTTTAAAATAAATTGTGGTTGTCCATCTAACTGACGAATCTGGGATTTTATAATACTCTATGTGAGAACGAGCTTTGCCTAATAAAACTGAGAAATGCTAAAGTCATGTGTGATGTTTAACTTTAAAACGCTCCCCTGTACACTTGGCAATTTCTTTCAATAGGAGGGGTCGATATATTTATATGGTTTACAAATTTGAAAACTTTACTTTTTACTAGTTACTTTGAGTACAACAAAAACAATAACCCTGTATACAGTAATAGTACTTACCATTTACTAGGAGGAACATTTGCAATGTAGAGTTTACGATCAGAGCCATTTGTGTTGTTGAGGATGGCTGCAAGGCTGGGGCACACACACTTGCATCGTTTGTCTTCGTAGGACTGTCCCTGTAGACAAATTGCATTGTTTTCTTCATTATACTTTTTATTCAAAAGTTCAATTAAATTATAGTATAAGTGGCTTCTATGGGTACTTTTTCACAAGGAACTCTATTACTACTCCTTACAACATTGTGACCATTAAATTGATTTATTAAGATCACTCGTGGTTACTGTACGGAGCTAAGGCCAACAATGTGGAACAACTGAAGGGTTAGCCTGTCTTCAGCTGTTTTGATCTTGTCAATGAAGCTTTGTATGCAAATCAAGGGGCAGTACTGGGTAAGGTAGAGTTAAGGTGTAGAGGAGTAGATCCACCTCTTGGCAGAATCAACACTCTGTTTACTCTCTGACCAAGATTTGACATGTGCTTGTTCAAGATACAGTGCTCTGTTAAGCACTAATCATCATTTTGATGACATTTCCTCCCACCGGAAATGTTTCACTATTCATGCATATATTCCCCATAATAAGGCACAATGGGGTCTCGTGACCAAGTTTATCAAGCCTATAATGTCATGTATGCAGCACAAAAAAATAGGTAAAACTACGACGCATTATTGAAAGCAAACAGCTAAGCATATAAAACAACACGTAAATGTCTTGTATTAGTATTACGTATTTCCAAGCAGGTTTGCGTTACCTACTACAATTTTAATTACTACGTAAGACTGCAGGCTGGCTATCCGTCGCGTCCTAGCAAGTCTATAAAATAAATATTTACATGTAGTGGGAGTAACAAGCAGCAATAATACAATAAACACAAAAGCGGACCACGTATATATTTTACTTACCGATGCATATAACACGCATGTAGCTGCGAATACCATCAAAATACATTTATAATACATTATGTTGGTGGTACAATGTTATTTCTTTAGTTTGGAAATATCGCACAATTAAAAATATTAATGGGTGTGCATATGCAACAACTCTGTCTCGCTAAACCCATACGCTAAACCTTATTCCACCATTTTGAAATTCTGACAAGTGACAAATGAATGGAATGAAATTGTCAAACAAACAGTGTTGCCAAAAAAAGTGTTGTCAAAAAAATTTTTTGGGTTGCGAATGAATGAAATGATGACCAGGCAAAGAAATGTATGCTTCCTCGTAGTTGTTACATTGTTCGGTCATAGATGGCGTTATATGCATATTCTTCGATAGAAAGTACATAATATGTACACTAGATGCCGGGGTGAGAGAAAACAAACTAAACAAGTAAAAATTGCACCATGAATTATTTTTTTTAAACAAAAAGCAGTCATGGAATAGTCGTAAGAAACAAACATCGAGTATATGGAAACAAATTAGCGCGGTATCATAGTGCATAGATCTGTGATGGGAAAATACATGGTGGTATTTTTCTCATATTTTTTATGAATTTGTTGCATGTTTTACGAAAAATTACAACTTCGAGTAATAAACATCAAACTATAATAATAAGAAAAGGGCATAACCCGTGATGCCATGCCATATCGAACCAACGCAAGCTGTACTTACGGACCTTAGGTGTTCCATACAAAATGTACGTAGTTGTCCATACATGGAAGAACGCTTGCCTCCATGGCACTCAGCATTTTTTTTACTTTTACATCCAATGCGGTTAACGTCGAATAGCCGGATAGACCAGCCAGTTTAGCCGGCCCTTTGGGTGAAAAGGCAGTACACGCTAGGTATATTTTTAAGGGTTTTGTGTTCTAGTTTTAATACGACAATGTTTTAAATGTAAAACCAGGCCTTTTTGAACATATTCAAAAAAATCTTCTTAAATTGTACTAAAATAAGAATAAAATTCAGTTTTCTTTATTTATTAACTGTCTATTATTACGTCGAGACGCCCTTCTTGCCCGAACGGCCACGTGACTGGTCAAATATAAAACGCCTAACATAAGTCGGACATCTTAGAATTTGGCCGGATACGCATCCAATAAACCTAACTATGTACGGCTTTATCCGGCTTCTAGCAACGCTAAACATGAGGTATACTGTACTTTTTTACTTTATAAAAAAAAAAAAAATTTTTAAACTCCAATATTCACCCTTCCTGTCCACAAAGGACTTGAGAAGCATTGTTTGCATTAAATTAGCTAACTTTTGAATACGCGAGTACTTGTAATGGACGCATATGTTCAGAAATGTAAACGGGGCACAATGCAATGAAAAAATGTTATCTTCTTTAGTCTCGTATTACAACAATACTGTGCGGAAAATTGCAAGGGAGCATGGAGCTACCAGTAATACGTGCTTCGCGGCACTTTGCCCCTAGATATTTCGGAGATGTGTTATCCCATTTTGATATCCTCAAAACGACATGGGAGGGAACGAAAGGGGAATTTGATAACAAGGGGTGAAGTAATGTAATGTTCATTCTTCCTTTACGGATTATGAACATTAATGCAGCTGGGAAGTCAACCGTTTGATCACTCGGAAAGTGGTAGGTATTTATGCAATTTTGTTGCACTACCTTAAGACTGCACTTTATAGTTCAAAATTGCTTCACTTGGCCTACAACACAACAAAAAAAAAACATACAAATTGATAATTTATTAATAATATGTGTAAAGTATAAAACTGTTTGTAATATCCTGCTATAGCCCGTAAGATCACACTAAAGCGCATGAACACCTTAAAATTCGTAGGTAAAATAAAAAAAAAATCAGACATTTTGGACTTTTATGCGAGTATTAAGTATATCAACCCGAGCCTATATTTTAGGAGGTGAGGTGTGGGAAACCGCCCCTCGCGTCCCCGCAACTCGCGCGCTGAAAATTAATATGAATATTATATTATAATATTAGTGATAAAATTAAACATGAAAATATTGACTGCTAGTTGATTAAAAAAAAATCCATTAAAGCGATTTCAATTTGTTAGGTTACACACAAAGCAAGTGCACGACCGAGTAACAAATCCTCTGTTTGGAATTTGTGAGACTTTTACATGTTTTTTTTTTCATATTTCGTTATTAGGTTTTTAAAAGCTTGTTTATTTCAATTATGTTTAATATTGTGTTCGATGCCCAAAAACTCATTGTTTTCAATAGTTTATACAAAAACCGCGACGTATTTCACAATTTTTATAAAAATACAATATTTTGCTGATGATTGTAATAATCATGTCCGTCATGTGCACCTTTGGTGCATTGTGTACCAGCCCCTGGTTCATGGGATGGGCACAGTGAACCATTCCTCATTAAAAAAAAATGTTTTCGGAAGGAATGACTGTATTTGGACAAAAATTAAGTATCGTTATAACAATATACCCAGCAAAATTATCTATAATTCTAAGCAAAAAGTGTGTAATTTACGTTCATACAGCCAGAGTTACAGCTCATGAAAATTTAGGTAGAGAATTAAAAAGCTTGCACTGTAATGTTACTTAAACTAAGAACAGAATCATGTAAAAAGTGTGACAACTGAACCCGCCATCTTGATATCAAGATTTCTTATAGAAAGAACGCAAGAGGAGTAAAACCGCAAAGTTATAGGATAGATCAATCAGAAAAAAAGAGAAAACAAAATTAAATGAAGAAAAATTAAAATACACAAGAGATCGCAAAGAGGTCATCGCCAGTCACGTGATGTGTCAAAGTGACGTTTGGTATTTTCCCGCCTAATTGTGTCTATTGTTTGAATAAAACAAATCAAATTCACAATGGGTTAAATAACGTATTATTATAGAGTTTGCATGCACGCACCTGGATACGAGTTTTGTTTCTAATTAGGGCTCGCAAACGGTACATTCAAAAGAGTTACCGTTCTGCAGCAAGCCCGTGTGTTGTTTTATTTGTGTGACAATAATTTTATACAATTGTCTCTGGAGTCTGGAGTACTATTTTTATTGGCAGTATGTTCTATTTTTTCAGCCACGGGTTAAGAGCCTTCAGCTCGCCCATTCATCCGGTGGCACCTTAAAGGATGGAAAAAACAAAATAGTCTGGCACAGTGAAGGCCGTTAACGGCCAAAAAAAAATTCAGACATGCTTTTAAAAACACCTTTCTCTGACGAATGAGTATAGCGTACGCGTATTTATTTATATTAAGAGTGCCAATGTTATAAATATATATAAATAATTTATTAGGAAGTGTGATTGTCAGAATAAATAAATAAATAAAAAAGAAATACTTTTTGTGCAAGTCGAATTTACTTTCTTAATACCTGAGTGAATTATGTGTAAGGATTTCCACATGTCCAGAAGCGCATCAGAACCTGCAGCGTGGCAAACATCCATCAAGTCAGCAGGTCGGCGGCAACAAATGGACTTCGTTAGCTACTGTAGGTGCCTATTACACAATCGCACGGTAACTCATTATAGCGGATAATGTGCCCATTTCACTTAATATATCCGTAAACGAGAAACTAGGAACAAAATAAGAATTGCTACGTCACTGTGTCTTTCGAATCCGTGGTTTTATGATAGAAACATTGGATTTTAGCAATACAATCCATCATGATAAAAACCATCGAAAACAAAATTCCATAATACATAGTATGGCATTCATAGGTTTTTGGGTCATTTACTCATACGTAGGCATAATGTAATATTACTAAGCCCAAAAAATTGCTACTAATAAAAAAACTAATTTTAATTACATTTCTGTCTATTCGCAAATAAACATCTATTAAACTCAGCCAAAATGGCCACTGTAAAGACATAACAATTTCCCGTAGAACATGTCAGAAAATTAAATTATTGAAGAAAAATTAAATACGAAGATCGGGCCGTACGGCTAATTAGATGCCATGGCCTGTCCCGGAAGACGAAAAATTATGTTCCTATTAAACTGGCAGTTCTATTTTATTTTATAAGTTAAAAAGCACGAAGGAAGAGCAATGCGAAATAATTCCCGAATATCCATGATAGAAACATTGCGATGAAGTTGAAAAGGCTGTATTAGCGAAGAGAGGAGAATATTGAGAACAACTTCTCGGAGCGGGGCAATTACAGGGAATCGCGATTTGGGGTAACAATTTCGATGTGTGATTTTTAAGCAGCGCAAATGGAAAACTCGGAGGCCCATTTTGCGCCACACGGATCGCTACTTAAATTCCACACGAAGCACTGCTGCGATATTACTCGCTAAGGCTGGCTCTACATGTGGTTAGGACTTAAAAATTCAGTCCATATTCTTTACACATTATTTTATATAACTTTTGTCTATGGCCTTTATAGTACTTATTTTGAAACTACGTAGGTATGTACCTACATCTTTTATGTAAGTAAATTGTATATTCACACTAAATTATTGTATCTTCCACTTTTCCGATTCTTTTAAAAAAATTATATCTCTTTTCAAATTCTTTTTTGTATGTATGTTACGTGATAACTCGGCATTAGTGAACCGATTTTGATGATTTTTTTTGTTGGAATCCGGTTTCACGCACTTTCCGGCAACCGATTTGAATAAAACTTGGCAAATAGATGGAATTGCACGCACTTTTGAGGGCGGTCTTTTTAGTACACTGTACTGAGATTATTTGAATTCACATGCGACGTTAGTATGAGTTTACATGAAATAAAAGTTTCCTGTAGATGCAAGTAGTGACGTCAATGTTTATGGTTACATTTTACACAAATAATTTTTAGTTTTTAACCGACTTCAAAAAAGGAGGAGGTTCTCAATTCGACTGTATGTTCTTTTTTTTTTGTATGTATGTTACGCGATAACTCCGGTATTTGTGAACCGATTTTCATGATTCTTTTTTTGTTGGAAAGGGGGTACTTCCATAGTGATCCCATTTCATTTTGAAGGAAATCATCTACCTCTAAGGGTGGCTGTTCACGCATGAAGATTCATTTTTATAAATAGCGCCTAACTTTAATTTAGGAGCAATTACTTTTAGCAATTATTTAGTTGATTTTGCTATTTCTCCAATTCAAGGCGTATTTCCCTCGATATACTTTGAGTAGTGTCG